TCCAGTTTTTAAAAATGACGGAATATTCCCAGATGCGCATGATTGGGAAGATCCGAAAGATTTGAAGCTTGAGGAATAAGGTATTTGATTCAGGGAGGTATATTACACTGTTTTCGAGGGAATCCAGACAGGGACTGAATAAAATTTGTACATAGCAAGGTTTTCAACTTACTGAGGTTTGTCTTGGGAAGGTCCTAGTACAGGAAAGCTGAAATATGCAGCAGATGGAATATGTATTCCGTTTTCTATCTTTTCTTTTCAGCGTTGGACTGCGGCTTAAAAATCACTCAACTCGTTTCTGGTCCACTCTAATACTGTATCTCGTCTATATCTGTATAAAAAGAGCTGTGAAAAAGCCGAGTTCCGCTGGCATTTACGAGTTTTTCATCCCTTTCTCGAGAGAAAGCTGCGATAGGAGGCTTAATTTTGCGTCTCGCTGGAAGAAGATGCCTTTTATTTCCTCATTAAAACAGATTCATTCATGGACCAGGCGATGAAAGAAGAGCATAAGTATGACTAAGAATACTTTACGTCGAGGATGGTTTTTCAATAAACGGGCTTCAACCACCTGTCGCTTTCATGCAGCGTTTTATGCATCTTTAAACTTGCTGCCGTTAATGTCACTCGGTCGTCTTGGCGGAAAGAAGGGATAATTTTGACTACAGTAATTACTTTTTCGAGCTTTTTAATTTCACCACGATTATGATGTCTTCTTTCTCGCCCCCGAACATCATCAGATGCCGAGGAATAACCCCCGTCGCCGCTGATTCTAACGTGGCTTCTTTTTCAACTTTCAACATGAAATTAATTTAAAACAGAAATTATTATTTTTTTGCTACTTTCGTTTATTTTTTAGGCGGCAAAAATTGGATTCATGAAGACGAGTTTCCCCTTCAATTTAAAAAATAATAATGATCATGTGATATATTCCCCATAGGTTTGGAGTTCCATTTTTTGTACTGAATATACAGTAGATTTTTTACACTTTCGCTCCACTTAATGATGCGAAGCGGTTGAATTGTTTTTTTTCATCTGTTTGAAAACGAGGAAATATTCTTCAGCACAGTATAGGTTTTTTATACTCTCAAGTGAGCGATTTTTTGCTGGAGAATTTAGATTCTAGTAGCCGGGAAAAAAACTTTCACTGCGTGAGTATTTTTTTTTTTTGGGAATTCGGTAACGGACTACGTTATTGAGGAAATGGGTTTCTCTTGAACCGTTGATTGCAGAAAAATGATCTACTTTTGAAGTTACGTGCTTAATTTTATATTTCAGCAATAGTCACATCTCGAAATGAATTTGCTTTTCTTCGCATTACAGGCCCGCGTCCGACGCGGAACAGCAAGGGCCGCAACGTGAACTTGCAGCGGATACGGACGCGCGAAGAGCGGGCCGAGGCGAAGCAAAAGCAGTACCGGTACCTGTACCAAGTCCGTACTGCCCATGGTGACGTCATTAGCCAGGTGAATGCTTCTTGCGCGTCGCAAGAGGACCTTGTCGGGTTGCCAGTGTCGCGCAACTCCAAGCGGCTCTTGTATTGATGACCCGCTGCTCCCAGTCCGCTCCTACTTCCTGCTGTGCCGAATCTTGACGCCAAAAAAAAAAAAAAAAAATTTTTGGAATTCATCGTCTATCGTCGTTTCACTGGTTTTTTCTTTTGACGGCAAATCAGCTCAGGGAATGAAGATGAAAGAGGAAAAGGAGGCAGAATGAAAGCCATATATGAATAACCATCCCTCCCCGAACCGTTCAAGAAGCGCCGAGCTGAAACAATGTTCAAAAAAAAAAAGATTGCGATATCTTCTTTCGTCGCCCCACATTTTATTTGTTTTCCCTTTTCCTCTTAACATTGTCAAACGTTGTTGTGCCTTCTGCTAGCTTCCGACTGTAACCCATAAGGAAGAGAGGATTGTGTCTACAATATATTCTTTTTTTTTACTGACAATTATTTTTTAGGTGCCGAGTGATTTTTGCGAGCACTAACTCGAATGTTTAATCGGAAAAGGTTTCCTCATTAAGGTTCTCTCTAATGATCATTCACTAACATTGGCTTTTATTTTGGCTTACTTATTATCCACGATTCGGTGAATGAGTGGGTTGTTTCATAGGTATTGCCAGTCCATCGCCTCCCGTTTTGAAGTCTTATTGGATGGATAACTGTGAACAGTGAACTTTTACTGAGTAACACTCATAATTTACTGGTCAACGTTTTGATTTTTAAATGGGAAGGACAAACTTGAAAAATGCCATCCATAGCTTTGAGGAAGTAATATGTAACTACTACATAAATTATCGTTTTTCAACTTTGTGGGAAATTGAAGCTCTGCAAAAATTGTGGGTGATTGTTAAACCTTCGTGACGATTGCCTAGACCCAACCACCAATTTCAAATAGAAAAATAATTCTGATCGCCTCAATTCCAATTTTTGAGAGTAAGTTTTTAACGTTTATTCTGCCTAAATGTCAATTGAAGAGAAAGAAGAGGCTTAAATTGGAACATTTTCTCAAGAGATGAACGAAGCACTAATTCTGAATTGGTTTGTAGGATCAAAATTCCGGATTAAAAAGCCCTGTTGAAAAAAACACGCAACTTCAAGATAAAGGTACTGACAAAACTTTAAAGCCAACCGTTGTATTGAAACAAACGACTGTATTTCTTGGTGGGGTTCCTCTCCTTGCGATCGAACGTTCTAATTGCATAGGTGGAGCTTATGTTCTGAGAGCGATTGCTTTTTTTTTTTTTGGGACTGTGATTCACTAAATGAATTTAGTACTGATGACGAGATAGGAAGAAAACCCATTTTTAGCGTGTTTGAAGTGAGGTTGAGAAAACATGATGTTGCTCACACTGTACTGCGTGCTGGTGTGACCGGAGTGGCCCGATTTTTCTTTGTGCATACGTTCACTTCTCGTGTGTCTGTGTGTGTGGGGAACGGACTCTACGCTTCTTGGTTCGCGACGATCTCTCGATCGGGGATCAAGACTCAGGTACGAGCTCAACCAGGGTAGCACGTTGCGGGTTGGCATTTTTAATTTCAGTTTTTGTTGCTGTTGTTGTGGACATTGTGTAGTTTATGTAGGGCGTCTTGGTCCCATTCCATTCTGATGCATGTGAGTAGACTATGGCGACTCCGGTTCCTGCTCGCTGTACCGGGAGCTGCCCATTTTTGATTCTTCACGTAGATGTCGCCCACAGGTGGCTCTTGTACCTGCGGATTTCTTTCCGTCTGACTTCACGATTTCGCTGTCCGATGCGCTCATTTACAACGACATTCCCTGTATTGCGTCCACTCAGTATTGTTTTAGGGAAGCCACATTCTAAACAAGAAAGATGGCTTATTGTACTTCTCTTTATCCGTATGAAAAAATTTAATTGAAAGAGTTTGGAAAATTATTCGTAAAAAAAAATCTGCTCGATGGCCCGTTCCCGGAATAATTTTGCGGGATCTCCTCCGTCGTTGAAGCTTTTTTTCCTCATTAAATTGGCACCCAAAATTCGTTCGTATTTTTGGGAAACCTTCTGTGACTCTCATATTATATGGCTTACTAGGCAACAATGACTTGTTCTGTGTTCGAAGACGAATAGGAGACGTTTTCCTCGAAATTTGAAGACATTTTCCGTGTTTCATTCTTGCTGTATTCGTGCGATGTCGTAGGCTTTCGTCAGCGTGAAAGGGATCTACTATCGAAGAGGCTCTGGTCCACTTTTCCCCAAGTTTTTTTCTGGTGTTGACGGTGATTCACGCCATACGAAACCCACGAATTAAAAGCGTGGATATCTCAGTATAATGTACAAAAATTAACCATGCTATTTGTGTAAAATTTTGGGGGAAATCCTGGCAGCATTCAGACTACCAGAAATCCAGAAGTTTTCGGCATCCCGAGGAGAAATACAGTACAAAATTAACATCGGTCTTTTTGGATGAAGGATTTTTATCTCTCTCATGAACCTCGGAAATGGAAGCAAACTTTAAGGGCGGTATTCTTAAGATAACTATTCCACTACAGTATTCTTGTATGTCAAAATTAAAGTTGCAAGTGGAAATCTTTTTCACACCTCAAGAGAAAAGATCCTCCCCTTTAAGCGTGTGTTAGATAAGTCGTGAACGAATCCCACCGAGATGTGCCATGAAGAGACAAGTAAATCGATTTCTATCTCATGAGCTAAAAGGTTTTTTTTTAATGGTGCTAAAATTCGTTTCTTTTTTTTGACGCAAATTATGATTTAAAGGTGTGTTCATAACTACTTTATATATTTGAAAATTTGTAGGCTTTGTATCGCAGACGACTTATTCTTTAAAATAATTATTACTGTGTCAATTACAGAGGGGATTTCGTTCTTTTCGAATGCTGGAAATTAAATTTCGCGATTCACGAGATGGATATTTTTTTTAAAGATCGGAATTACTTTTTATTTAATTTCGAATCGTCTTCGAGAAGCTAACGAGAAAACTATTAAATTTTGAAAAGTAATTGATCTTGGGGGGAAATGGTCGAGAGTCCTCTGACGATGAATGTGACTGAAGCTTCGTTCGAGGGTTGAAAAGAAAAAGACGATTCTCGCGCATTTTAAATGTTTCGTTATCCTCATTTCTTGACAACTTTTCAGAACTACTTGCAAGGACTGCAGCACAAAAGCGTGACGCAGCAGCACGTGCACGACACATCCACGCTGAACTCGGACACGACCCACCTGACAACCCTGGCATCGGATCACCCGCAACTGACCCCGTTGACTCAAGCATTTCGCGAAGATTCCTTCAGTGAACACGGGGCTTGACGATGAGTCCGGGGTTTTTTTTTTTTATCGCGTGTGGACCGGAAAACTTCCTTTTGAAGGGTGACATCTTCATTTTTTTTTTCGAAAAAAAAAATCCTCGTGGTTGTTTTTTTGGCGTGGTTTTTTTTAATGTTCGTCGGGATGGAAAAACTTGCTGAGGAAACGACGACCTGCGATCATTGTGGTGGTCCATTCAGCAGGGAGGCCTTCCCCGGAAAGAATATCGCGTTTTGGTTCCACTTTAGTGGAGGTGTTCAGTCAGTAGTGTGTCTCGTCAGTGTTCGAAATAACGTCGGCGAGAGAAGGAAAATTCGCTGGAAATCTTGAATCGAAAAATTGAGAAAACGACGGGCTTGACGAAGGGCATTCGGAGATTTCTGAACTGCTGCTCGTTTTATCGAAACTTCCACTCCGATAGCGTCTTCTTCTTTATTTCGATTAGTCCCTGTAACAGAGTAGAACTGCTGAAAGTAAGAATTAAATTAAGACTGCATGTCATCGATTCAAATCGTTCTCGTGATGCATCGGACGGAGCATAGAAAGTTTCTGATTCCTGTGATCACTTTTGCACATGTAAAAATGTGAGTCTTTAGTTTTGTCAGTACAGTAATCTTCAAGGTTTTGTCTCTGAAATATTGCTTCGCTACGAATTTTCCTTCGAGATACGAAAAAAAAAATTGCTGAACTATTGTATCAATTCTAATGAAACCTGTTTTTCGAATATCGATCGAGTTACGACTTTCTTTGATTCGGAAGGAAATTTCCGAATGCCCCCTTCGTGTGTGAATGTGTGAAGCTCGTGAGACAAGGTTTTCGTTGCTGTGCTGGAAATCTTGTAACGATTTCTGAACGTAGTAAAGGAATCGCCTTGTTTGTTTCTAGTCAGGAATGGATTCTATGGTGGGTCAATATTTCGTTTGTCACTGCCACATGTCGTCTTGCTTCCGCAGGCAGCTGTTCTCCACTCAGCGTTTTTCTCTTGAAGAAACCTTAAACTGAGCAGCTGACACAGATTTCTGTCCTTCCAAAAGTGAAACTTTTCTTAGCATGATGAAATCAAGGGTTTTTTTTGAGGAGTTCTGCTGCTGGAGTCGAATTTATTTTCTTATTTTACTCCTTATTGTTTTTAAGAGGTGTAAAAACAGGTTGTTGTGGGAGGGTTTGTTTTTCATTGCGGAGAAAAGCGTGACCATGATTTTTTTTTCTTTTTTTCGAGATTTTAATTGTCGATGGCCTGGAACCTGGCCACAAAATGCACCTGAATCGTGCTCAACGTGAGTAGAGCCAACTTGGTGACCGGTTTGATCGCTGCTTGAAAACCACTCGACAAACTCAAGCTACTGTATTTATATCTCGTTTTTCGTAACTTTCTTTCTTCCCTCTGTGTATTGTAAACGTGGTCTTCTGATATTTCGAGCTCTTCGAATCCGTCTTTTCCTGGTGAACCTCTCCAACGGAAGTCGGAGTGCTTCTATTCTAGTTCAGTCCTCTGATTTTCATTCATTTTTTTTTAGATTTTATTTCCGGTGTGCTGGTGTTTTTACGTGACTTTTCACTGTTAGCATTTGAGGAAGAGCGAAGGCGTCGAGTTTTTTCTCTTCCAGCGGAAAGCTGTGATAATTTTCTCCGCGAGTCCGAATAGAACATGCTGCATTTTCTTCGTTACGATTGACTGGCGGCCATTGCTCTGCTTTTTCCGCGGTATGACGTGACTGATCGAGGCGATGTACGTGATATGGTGAAGAAAAATCTATGACTAGCGTGTTTTTGTTTCCACCCGCGTCTATTTGTAAGGCTGGCTTTTTACGGTACCCATTGAAATTGCGTGTTGCTTGTTTGACGATGTCTTGAAATTCGTGGAATATTTGTAGAGGGCTGAAATTTCGGATTAAAGCGCATTTTGAAACCACGCGATTGTGGATCATCTTCTTTGATTGGACTGCCGGAGTTCTGTATATGTTGGACGCTCGTGATCCGTAGGAAAGCTTCTCGCCCATTAGATCGATTTGTGAATTTTTACGGTGGAAAAAAACTACTTTGGTAGTGAAAACCGGCTGAAAATTACTGGGTAAACGAGGAAAGTGTATGATTTCTACATTTGGAAATACCTTGATTATCCTGAATTGTGATTTGTGAGCAATGACGAATTCATTCAGTTTCCCTTTGGATTAAAGAATAGCTCTTTCATATATCATTTCCTAATGAAATTAGTCCAGAGTGGTTGCTTGGGAAACTATGCCTACATTTTTACAGTATCATCAACATTTTAATTTATTCCAACATGTGGCCCTGACCTGCAGCAAGTTTGAATCAAAGAATTCTGTTTATGGATGAATACTTTCTATTTTTATAAAATCTTTACTTGAAGAAAGATTTCACGTTCAACTAACCCTTTTTCTTTTGCCTGCAATTTGTATGACAAACTGAAATATGTTTTTTAAATACAAGTTTTTATGCAAGGAATCTAAAGTGGCATCCCTGTTTTTCAAGAGCACCTTGCAGTAGTTTTTCTTGGAATTGTCTTCTACATGGAATAAATGCTATCCTCTTATTGTCTGTTGATATACAGTATATATATATATATATA